ACTGACAATTAGCATTTCTTCCAGGACCTCCAAAGTAAAAAAAATGTCCCCAATCGTCATTCTTACCAACCTTAACATCATAGCAATTCGATTTCTCCGTGAAAGTGTTGAGCCCTTTTGGTTCTCTCAGGTTATTAGAGCTATCAACGACTTGAATGTTCCGAAAGTAACTAGCTTTCGTGAACCCTTCATCTGGAAATTGACCGCTTCCCATTTGTGTGGTCGTGTGGTGACCATCTTCTTCCATGTTCACTACTTCTCCACCCCATTCTACTATCGATGCACTATCCGCTAAGTATGAGAATAGAAAGCTTGGCCAGTATCCCAACACATACCCGTCCCCAAACTGCATCCACCAGTGCCCTTCATTCCGATCCTACAAGAAAAAATGGTCCCCAATTATCAGTTTGATTGCTCAGACACAATCACTGACTCATAACTTGAGCATCTTTGGGGACAAAAAGGCCCTATGTTACAAATTCCATCAAAGATATGGTTCTTGTGATGAACTTCACAAATAGAAACCAGTTTGACACAATTACTGATCCATAAAGTAGACATCTTTGAGCTTAAGAAGCTAAGAATTTTAAGAATGCCCTGAAAATAAATAGTTCTTGAGAGGAGCTTCACAAACAAAAAACAATTTGATTCATCAGACAACAACCACTGATACATAGAGCTCAGATTGGTTCTTTGAGAGGAGCATTAAACAAATTGATTTACCTTCCAAATGGTAATACTGATATCGTATTGCGGGTTATGAAAGCCAGATACTGGAGAAATACTGGCTCCCATTGCTATTTGACTGTTGATTTGTATAAAACCCGAACAAAGGAGATTGTAGCAGCCAGTAGCTTGATAAGCATCACTCTGTTGTTTGTTCAGAATAGAGAAATCAATAAAAAAAAATGAAACCTTATCAACTGAAAAGACATACTATATACAGTATAGATCATCAAAAACTGAAGTAAAGTTAACAGTTTTCTCGAGCTTACCGTCCAGTATGTGAAAAGCCTTGTGTTGTTATCGCCATATAAATCCGGACTAACCTGAATTGTATAAATATGTCAAAGAAGCTAAGAACATAAGTGTAACTGAGACATAAGTGTGTGACTTTTATATAGGTGGTTTACCTGCCAACCAGCTTCAATGCTATTGAGGTCTTGACCAAAAGCACCTCCAAGAATCCATAGCTGAGACAAACTAAACTCATTCGGGCTTTGTACTTTGGGTTCCCATACATTTATTGTCGCTTTAGCCCCGTAAAACTTGCCTCCTTCCACATAAGTTATAGCGTGCTAGTTCCACCCACAAGAGCCACACCAAATGCACATACAAAAGATAACTCTTTAGACCAAGAAAATTCACACAATACATCGACATGTAGGTAAAGAATCAAAATCTACCTGATGACCACTTTGGTTGATGAGATCAGGATCAGCAGATCGCGGCTGAGGAACGGTACGGTGCTTCTTCTTACCGTAACGTTTAACAGAACTCGCCCTCAAAACATCCTCTTTCTTTGTCCTCCTCACAGGTATTGTTCCTTCAGAACACACTCCATATTTGTGCCATAACTGAGTTACTGGATTGACTCTCTCTTTTGGTTTCTCAGACACTTTGTTCTCATCAAAAAGCCGTTCTGGGATGTAACTAGGCTCCATCTGTTACGTATATATAAACCCATAACATGTTAAGAGATATGCCAAAATTCAATAGAAACAAGCAAATGCTGAATCAAAATTTACCTGAATCTTGTGATCTTTGAGGAAAGGATGATCAAAAGCTGGTTGCTTAGATATGTGAACACAGTCTATTATGTCACCATCTGGACTCTGCTTGAAATATCACACACAACACAAGAGAAACTCTAAAATCAAATTGGAGTTAAATTTTTTTAAAATAGTTATCAAATTCTTCCTACATTTTCTTATTAACAACTAAATTATGGAACCAAAATTTGCAGGAAAGTTAAAGGACTGAGCTTTATATCACTGAATCAATTAGGTTGGTTAAAGCCAAAAAAGCAAAAATTGAAAATGAAGGTTAAGTAAAGAAGATTCAAAAACCTGAATGCTCTTAAAAGCTGGTTTGTTCAATCGTTTCAAGTGTTTTTGCACTTCGAAATTCTGCCTTGAAACAGTGAGACTCCCAGCGCATGTTAGAGAGAGCAAACCCCAGAAGCAAAACCAAACCAGAAACCCTCTGAAAACCCTCTCCTTGCTAAAATGCGCCGCACCATCCATATTCTCAGACTTAAGTCTAAAGCCAACAAGA